GGAAAAGACTAAGTGACTTCCTGGTTTATGTTTTATCTGCACTCTGCAGAGCATTCTTTGCCATTTTACTTATCTATTCAGTATTTATTTTAACCTATAAATTCCCTACTAGTTCCTGGAGTAATAAGACTAGTAGGAGGCAGTTAGTATTTTATAACATTGGTATTTAGACTCCTTGGGTCTTTATCTTGTTATTTAGATAAGGCTAATGCTAAACTTGTGGTTAATTGCTATATCTGCTTGGCATTACGTCAGAGTGGGGAGAGGTTGTTAGTAACTGTGCTGGACTACTCTTTAAAATCTTACAAGTGCTGTGTAAACTGGTAATGGGCTGTGAAGGGAGAGCGCCTTGAGTGACAGGCTGCTCCAAGAAACCTGATTGGTTAGCATCAGTTGAGCAGAGAAAGGCTTGAGAGCTGAATGCTGTGGAGAGGGCAGTCTGAATTCAGCCCTGACTGAGACGGGTTTAGTGCTGATGGGGTTTGTATTTAGTCCTGACTGAGAGCAGTTTAACACAGACGAAGTACTGAGAAGGTTGGCAGGAGGAGTGGATAGTTAGGTGGAGACACCCAGTGAAAAATGCATTTTGTCGTGGGAGGTTTGAAATGAGCCAAACCTCCACTTGGCATTTTAAAAGTTTTTTTCCTCTGGGCAGAGAACAGACAGGAGGGGTCCCCAGTCACTGCAATTCCAGACACACCTCAACCCACCTTCATACAAATGCTAATAGATCTAGCAGAGGAGATATTGGGTGGGTCAGGCTCTTCCCCTTCTCCTAGCAGGGAACAGAGATTAGGAGGAATGAAATACTAGAGGAACTCCAGGAAGGAAACATCCTGGAGATCTCCAGGAAAAGCCTCTTTGACCTGACATGATCTGGTTAGTGGGTGGAGAAACAGATATGATAAAAAACTCCTTGCAGCAGGAAGGAGGTCTCTTTTTTGGGGGGTGCTGAGGCCATGAGAGCAGGCAGGACTCCCAACTAAGGAGGCAGCCATTGACTATGTGGTTGGCCTGGACAGCTGGAGCAAGCTTCAAGGTCATTGACATTCAGTAGAGATCTAGAACTCCCAAGCTAAAGAGCCTGTCCTGTATTTTGACATCTAATAGGGCATGTATAGAGAGAGGGAGGAGGAATGAAATACTAGAGGAACTCCAGGAAGGAAACATCCTGGAGATCTCCAGGAAAAGCCTCTTTGACCTGACATGATCTGGTTAGTGGGTGGAGAAACAGATATGATAAAAAACTCCTTGCAGCAGGAAGGAGGTCTCTTTTTTGGGGGGTGCTGAGGCCATGAGAGCAGGCAGGACTCCCAACTAAGGAGGCAGCCATTGACTATGTGGTTGGCCTGGACAGCTGGAGCAAGCTTCAAGGTCATTGACATTCAGTAGAGATCTAGAACTCCCAAGCTAAAGAGCCTGTCCTGTATTTTGACATCTAATAGGGCATGTATAGAGAGAGGGACGGAGGATTTGCAGTTTACCCATTTCTTTTGGAATCCGTTGCTCAATCTGGTGCTGTGCTAAAGGTATGCATGTGAACATTTTCTTTATAATAAAGGTTAAAATAGTTGGAGAATAATGTTTTACAAAGATAGTCAATTTTTTTCTGTTCCTCAAATTAGCTATTTTGAAAGGTCTCTGCACCTTAATGATATACCTCTATTGATCCCTGGTATCATTTGCCAACTTTTTCAACAGCAGCTACACCTGATTTAAAACCCAGATATCATTCTGTTTATACTTCTCTAGTGGTTTTCTGGAAAGTGTCTGGGACATACACAAATCTGTGATGGTGGGGGAATTCCAAAAATGCAAAACTTGCCAGCTCTGTCAACACTAATGAGCATGCTCAGAAACAATGGAAATTCTGGGAAAATTTGAAGTAACCAGGGAAACAGGAGATCACAAAACAGCTAATTAAATGTGGCAGTTGGGAAAATAAACTGCCAGACAACTTGACATTCTTGGGCTTTGTGACAGGAAAAGGGAGAAACAAGATCAACAGAAAATAAAGGTAAAGGTAAAGGCTCCCTTGCTCGAAAGCCAGTCGAATCCGACTCTAGGGTTGCGGTGCTCATCTCCGTTTCAAAGCCGAAGAGCCAGCGCTGTCGGAAGACGTTTCCGTGGTCATGTGGCTGGCATGACTAAACACCAAGGCGCACGGAATGCTGTTACCTTCCCACCGAAGTGGTACCTATTCATCTACTTGCAATTTCTTGCTTTCGAACTGCTAGGTTGGCAGGAGCTGGAACTAGAGACGGGAGCTCACTCCATCATGCGGCACCCGGGTCTCGAACTGCTGAACTACTGACCTTCCACAGCCTGCAGTTCAGCGTCTTAACCACTTGAGCCACCGCAGCTCCATCAACAGAAAATAGGAAACTATAAAATCAAGATCATTTGAATTAAGGCTGGCATCTTTAGTGCCCAGTTGCTGTGACTTGATGTGGAAGGAATAAGGCCTTTTCATTCCATCAGGTGTGTGGAAACTGGCTTTGGTTACTTTGGCTCAGGTGTGAAGACTGGCAGGATTGTATAAGCACTTTTTTAATTTTGAAAAAGTCTAGCTTGGCCTGAAACAGATAGCAACCTGGGGCACAGGTAAAAATGGGGTAAGCCCTAGGAGCAAGTTTATACCTCCACTCCACTGGTGTCTCTGATTGTACCCATGGTGAATTTTAATTTGGGGGAGGTCAAAATACAAATCCACTTGGTTTAGGTAGTCTGTTCAGTTTGAGCCTGTTGCTTAAGAGAGGTCTCCCCTGCTAGCCACATCTCTCCCCATATCCTAAGGAATGAAATACCACTATGATTGGGGGGGGGGGGCTGACTCGAGGTCTGCTTTCCTTTTCCGGAAATGTCTCTCCTGTTCTGACTGTCATTTTGTGCTGGGCAGCATGGTTTTTTTTCTATCTGTTCTGTCAGAAAAGAGGATGTGTGCATATATTTGAATTTATTCCATGTTTGTTTGTCTCCCCCCCCCCCAAAAAAAAAAGATTTCCCAGCTCTCAAAATTCTTAAAATATTTCAAGGAGAGCTACCATCACTGTACATAAATAGAAAAATGAAACACTTGGGGACCTAGTAATACAGAGGGCAAACCTCTTTTTCTTGCTACAGGAGGCAGGAAAAGATTACAACTCCTATTCTGCCCAGCACAGAATAATATAATTCTTAGGACCAGAATTTCAAACCCACTCATTGCTAACACTTGAAAGCAGGCCTGCTGTGTCCAGTGAGGCCTCCCCTGCTTAAGGGTCAGTTTCTATTGTACGGACAAACCTGTCTTCCAGCACGAAAGCATCACCCCCCCCCAAGATTTTTAGATGGTACAGTGTGCTCCATTGTGCAGAGGGTAAAGACATGCACAGGATTTAACAGGGGATTTAGGGGATGCAAGTCCTCCCTTCTCTTTTTACACCTTACCTAATAATATGCACTTTGATAAATAAGACTGTAAGCCACACAGTAATCAGCAGGTTGTTTCAAAGTGGCTAACAGGGAAGCAGGATGATTAACTGACTAGCGCCTTTGTGTAGGATGAGATGCATTCATAAGAAAACATTGGACTTGACTTTAATGGGCAGCTGCAGTGCTGCCTGAAAGGAATCTACTAAACCAATTACAGTATCGTTTGCTTCAAGACACTTTAACATGAGTAATCAACCAGTATTCATCACTCTGCACCTGCAAAAGATACTAAGAGCAACACTGAAATGAGTTAATATGATGCAGTGAAATTGTTTAGTGTATTGTCTCTAATTTAAAAGCAAGCGTGAATGCAAAAATTCTGCCTGCATAAGGTGGGTCACAGAAGGAACTAGACTCATTGAGTCCACTTGTTTAGCATAGGAAGAACCAAGAGGCTCATGGCTTCAACACAAAGACGAGCCCACAAATGTTTACTTGCTACTTTAGCCAGCTGTGGGGGGAAAACACAAAACTGTGTAAAAACTTGAAGAAAAGGGACTGAAAGATTACTTTTTTTCCTGTCATCACACTTGTGCAAAATGATTGTGGATGAGACAAGGGGAAAGAGATTGCAATGGACGATGGTGACATTTTGTGTTTGAGTTAGCCTTTGGTGAACTTCTTTTGGCTCAGCTCAGGATCGACTCACTAAGTTTTCTTGGGTGGGTGGGAGAAGCTCACCTTTTCCAAGAGTTCTCTACTAGAAAAGAATGTTGATGCTTGTGTGCCTTATCATGTTGTTTCCAACTGATCATCAAATATTCAGCTTTCCCCCCCCCAAAAAAATTGTGGATAGTAATCACAGCTCAAACACAGTTGAGCCTGATTTCAGGCTTCAGGAAAATCTGCCATTCCTGAATGGCTGGCCCACAAGATATAGCTCAGGACAGCTTGAGAGCAAGGGAGCTGTAAATCCCATGAGCTTGTCTACATAATTTAGGTAAGATCCCTAACCCAACACTAAAGGTTAGGAAAAGTCCCATTCCCATATTATTCATAAATTCTCACCATCCTATGTTTGGTCATGTAGATAGTTATGCCCCTCTTTCCATCCCAATGGGGACACAAATCAGTTTATAACATTGTTCTTTGCACCTCCATTTTATCCTCACAACAACAGCCCTGTGTGGGGTAGCGTTGTTGTGAAGATAAAATGGAGAAGAGAATTATGTAAGCCACTTTGGATCCCCACTGGGGATAAAGGTGATATATAAATGAAGTAAATTAATTCATAAATACTGTGTTAATTTGATAGGTGGCCACTTTGTAATTTTTTGGTGACCAAAGTCAAGAATATTTTAAATAATTTAGCAAAGGAATAAGTTGTCTTGGGATATTATAGAATTGTTTTAGTCCTCTAAAGTTTTGTGTTTGGGGGGGGGGGGAATGTCACCTGTATTTAGGTAGATTCAGTACAGGAGTTGAATTTTGTGGTCCACTGTATCTTAGTCTGTTGTAACCATATTCTTTCTTTTTTGATTAAGGTATTGATTTAAACTTTGTTTTATGTGGTATTTGTCTTTCAGATGTTCAAATGAGACCAAACTCAAAACTGGGGACACGTTTTGGGCTTATAATTTCTGCCCAACTCCATACTCGTGGACAGCACTCCTGGGACTTATTTTATATCTGGTTTTCTTTGCACCAGGTAAAAAGATAAGATATAAGGCAAAAAAAATTGGAGCTTTTGATTTGTTCTTAACATTTAGGAAGAATTTTTAACCTGGCATGAGTTTTAAACATATGCATTGCCCTTCCTAAGACAGGTAAATGATGAGTTGACTGGATGCACCACATTTGTATGAACACATTCTCCTTGGCCACACAGTCCAAAACCTCAGGGGTATCCTATATTCAAATAACTGATACAACCCATGGGAAATCCCCAGGAGAGGAAAAGGGGAATGTAAGATCCTGGTACACATCTTGGATAAAAAAACTGCCCCAGTACATAACAGTTGTGTTGAGTATTCACAGTACATATTACTTTCCCAGTCATTCATTGTCCTGCTGATTTAAAAAAAAAATAATTTTTTTACAATGTTGTTACAGCAACCTACCCCGTTTTTAAATTCTCAGTTCTGCCTTCCTTTAGATTATCAATTCTGAAAGAAACAATGAAAAAATCCAAGGAGAAGAAGGATTTGTGCTACTTTCCCCTGTCATTTTTGTGTAGCATTACAGCTTCTCCTGCCTTATTCCTTGGCTTGATATAATATGTCCCAAAGCTCCCATTACCAGTGCCTCTTTGCTTTTCTCAGTGTCCTGTTCCTGTATGCAACTGACACACTTACTAATAAAATTTGTGTTGATCTTGGAAGAAAGGATCACAGATATCCAATATTTTTGCTCATAGGTAGATTTTCAGGCCACAAGATTATGTCCATGTTTGAGGGTCTTTTGTGTGTTTTCTAAAGAATGTTTAGTTTTACTTGTCTCATCCTGCAGCCACAATTCTACTGTGAATAGAACAGTTTCTGTTTATTAGTCTGTTTTCTGCAGCCATCATTTACCATTAAACATACCTTTTATATATACCCTTGTAGCTTGGTTTATACTAGGTGTGGGACAGACAGACACTAAGGATTAATAAGGACCAAATATTTAGAAATGTATTTAAGAATTAAATATTTAAAAGATTGTGTGAATTTTTAACTGGACTTCTGTTATGCAGGCTCATACTGTATTCTTTACAATGACTTCATAATGTAATCTTTAGATCAAGATGGGTAGTCATGTTAGTCTGTCTGTAGCAGTAGAGAAGAGCAAGAGTCCAGTAGTACCTTAAAGACTAACAAAATACGTGGCAGGGTATGAGCTTTCATGAGTCACTTCTGAAGAAGTGAGCCATTCACTTATCTTTAAGGTGCTACTGGACACTTGCTATTTTCTACTGTATTCTTTAGAATTACTTTAAGTAAGGTGGCAATCCCGATGTTACTTCTCCCATTTCTCTTTAGCCTACACCCCAAGTCAGTACTTATACAGCTTTGCTTGTGTTCCTCTGAGGTCTGGCTTCTTGTCAGGCTATTTCTTGGATTATGATAAATCTAGAAGCTCATGATTTTTCTCTGGTCAGGACTGCTCACTAAAGATGCTGGAGTTAAGTGCTGCACCTAGACGTTTCCACCTCTTCTCCCTCAGCTGAGCTTCTGTTTTTCCATCTTCTCCTCAGTTCCCCTTGCTAGGTCACATCGTTCTTTCTTCAGACAGCTCTTCCTTTACTGTCCTCTTTTTGTTACCTTCACCAGGAATCACCCTGACGAAACTCACTGTGCCTGGCCTTTTCTCCTCTCCCATCAGACCCTTCAACCAATTATAGGGCACTTTCACACATGATAAATAATTCAGTTTCAGTCCACTTCAGTAGCAGTTTGCAAATGGATTTTGCCATTTCACACAATAAAATCCAGTTGCAAAGTAGATTGAAAGTGTGTTATTTAGTGTGTATGAATGTGCCCTATGTCTCAGACCCTCTTCTCATGGGTTGTAAGGTCAAGTCCATTAAAAGTGATTGAATGTATACTTACTGACCAATCGTAAATTTGACCAGTGAGAAGTTATGCATTTTGAATTCTTCTTTCTCGTATTAATGTACATAACATGTAACATAAATGAGAAACATAAGTGATAACAGAAACTATGAATCAGTTCTGCTGCCTGACAAGCTGCTTGCCGGGGGGGGGGGGGCTACATAAAGTAGCTTTACTTCCCTCATGGAGGTAAAATCACCCTTATCTCAAACTTTACAAAACCTTTTAAAGAAAAAGCACCTTATAAGTCTTTATAACAAAAAAATCTGTCTGCTTAAAATTCCAGAATATCACAAAAGTTGTTTGTTGTCCATAATATTCTTATAATAAGATGTTTTGTTCTCTTTTTATATACTATCTGTCAAAAAGTCCATTTCTAATATTTTTGGTATTTTAATAACTGTTCTGCTTGAGAAGGAGGGGTAACTTTCTTCTAGTGCCAAGCCCAAATGATCTTTGCTATATTGCTGCCATATTTAATATGTTCTGTCAATCTACCCTGATCTGACTGAGGATAAATGTAGCTATATCAAAATCCAATTGACACTGGTAAAAAAGCATTCACAACTCTCTACAATCCCACCCCATATGCTCAACATTTGTATTTTTTTTAAACATTCCTAATACCTATAGATTTTAGTGTTACAAATTTTATTTATCCTCTATGGGGTTAGGCACCATTGATTTAAGGTCATATATTCTGCTTCTCTCAAAGGTAAACATACAAAAATCCTTTTATAGATTTAACATTTTTTCCCTATGCTCTGTCAGAAGTATTTCTGCTTACTGGCTCTGGCCCACAGAAATGTATAATAAATCCTTTAGTCATTCCTTTTCTTGTTTCTGTTTCAAAATCAGAGGGCCTGCATGCTCCAAATTACTTTGGCAAAACTAAAAACAGCCCAGCTAATACTTAACCCCAGAGATATTTTTAAAATATGCCTGTCTAAGTCTAAGGGCACAAAATATAAACTTTACCATAGACAAAGTAACACACCTGTCATTACCAGCCAAAAGATATAACAGATGGAAATCATGTGAACAGTGTGGAAGCCTGCTCAATAAAAGCAATATAAATTTAGCTCTTATTGACAAATACAAAAAACAAGTAAATACAAAATGAGGCAACATTTTAATTACAGCTCGAACACAAGGGCAGAGTCTCTGAAGACGGCTAATACCCTTGCAATGACCTGGCAGTTCTACAAGTGGTAAAGCATCTAGCCAAGAAAAAAGTTGATGAAAAATTGTGACTGTTAGAAAAGTAAAATAACTCAGCAAAACAGGAAAAAGAGGGGCTGAAAAGCCCTTCAAAAGGGGGGAACAATGTCTCCTAGCACCTAAATTAATAACCTCCTGATCTAATCTCAGTGATTCCAAATCTTTCTAATATTTGGTGTATCAGTAGAAGAGAAGGACAAATTAAACCCTAAACTCAACAGCTTGTCCTCCACTAATTTATCCCACGATAATCTTTGGGAATCAAACTGAGTCCATCTTAAAAGCTCTGGTAAGGACTCACGATCTAACAAGAAGACTTTAAATTTTACTATATGCCATTTTGGGTTTCCCTAGTAACCCCAATAAATATTACTTAAACTGGCAGGGAGGGGAGAAGAAAGGATTCTTTGTGGGGATAAGAAGCAGGGGAGAGGATAGGTGGCTGTCAGGAGCAGGGGAGAGGAAATGCCTGCTGTGGAAGGGGAAAAAGGAGTAGTCAGCATGGGGGGGGGGAGAGAAACAGCAGTGGTGACAGGGGGATGGGGAACTGAGAAGGAGGCACAGGATAATGGGACTACCCATCTCCCATAAGTTTATTATGGGTGTCAATATAAATTATGGTTGTCAGTATACATTTTTGCAGGACTGTCATTTTGTAGCATTAATCTTAGCCATCCAAGAAAGTTTCAGGTGATACCTCCAATCCAGATCTCTAATTTGGTAACACACAGGACCTCAATTTGAGTGTATTATGTTAGCCTGGTGCGAGGCATAGATAGATCTTAGTGGTTTAGAGGGACAGCAAATTCTAAATTTAGTCTTAATATGCTGTTTCTTATCTAATTCAATAATTCTGATTGCTTTATTAATTGTATATGCTGAAATAGCACTTTTATAGTATCCAGCAATCAAAAGAGATAGTGTTTCTTCTAAAAAACACCATAGTATTGTCTGCAGGTTTTGACCATTTAAGTTGACCATATTTAAATTTTACCCTTTCTATTTTGACTCAGATCTCTCAGTAATAGCTAATGGTGCAAAAACCAGAGCAAATGACAGTGGCAATAAGAGAAATCCTTGCCTACTGTCCAACAACTCCATGTGTCTGAGTTTAACAAGATGTTGACACTGGATTTAAATAAATCAGGTTAATTGTAGTTCTGAACTGAGATCCGGCCTCAAATCGAATGGTAAGGCCATTCCACTTTGTCAATAGCCTTGGCAGCACCTAAGAATATAAGAAGGGCAGTTGTATTAAAAATTCTATATTTTATTTATAATATTGATTGTTCTAATATAAACAGGTAACAACTACCCTTTTATAAATCTTGTCTGATCCTGATGTACATAATTACAAATCACACTGTAAAACGTTTGCTAATATTGATATAAATATAATAATGACATTGGTCTACAGGACTTCACATGGATCAAATCCTTTCTTTGTTTCATAGTAAAAAAAACCCTGAACTTCTTTCCAAAAATCAGGGATTATTTTCATTACCAGACAATAATTGAGAAGAGAACAATAATAATTGAGTAGAGAAAGAGGTACTTTTCTCCCTTTCTCACAATACAAGAACTCATGGGCACTCCATGGAATTGCTGAGCGGTCGGGTTAGAACGGATAAAAGGAAGTACTTCTTCACCCAAAGAGTGATTAACACATGAAATTCACTGCCACAGGAGGTGGTGATGGCTACAAGCATGGATGGCTTCAAAAGGGAATTAGATAAGCATATGGAGCAGAGGTCCATCAGTGGCTATTAGCCACAAGGTATAGATAGGGGCTCTGGGGCAAGTGAGGCTCTTTCTTCTTGGTGCTTGGGGGGGTCAACAGTGGGAGGGCTTCTAATGTCCTGGCCCCACTGGTGGACCTCCTGATGGCACTGGTATTTCTGGCCACTGTGTGACACAGAGTGTTGGACTGGATGGGCCTTTGACCTGATCCAACATTGGCGTCTCTTATGTTCTTATGTTCTTAAGTTCAGCCAACTTTGGCACTAGGGGAGCAAACCTAAGCAAGTTTACTCAGACATAAGTCCCATGTTTTTCAATGAAGCTTACTCTCAAAAGCCAGAGAACTCTTTCTTCTACTTAAAAATATTTGTAATAAAATCAGTGTTTCAGCTTTTTTCTTTATTAAGGGAATAACATTTTGTTTTTCTTTTCTAGGCAGAATATATGACCAAAGCCTACCCAATCTAGCCCATCCCCCAAAATACTTTTGTTTCCCATAAAATCAAAGGGGGAATCAGCTGCCTAGGGAGGTGGTAAGCTCCCCTTCACTGGCAGCTTTCAAGAAGAGGCTACATGAATATTTGTTAGAGATGCTTTAGGCTGGTCCTGCATTGGGCAGGGGGTTGGACTAGATGGTCGGTATGGCCCCTTCCAACTCTATGATGCTGTGATTCTATGATTCTGTTTTCTTCACCTGCTTATTTTTAATATATCTATTTCTCTGCTTTCTGTCTGTAACTGGAAGAATATTTTCTAAATGATCTGACTTATTTTCCTCTTCTAACTTCTTTATTAGCACCTTTAATTATCTCATTTTTTTCCTATAGGAAACTAATCTAATTAATGAACCCCTAAAGTTAGTTCAGATGCCTCTCACAGAGTCTACAAAGGCCCCTGCCACACGGCAGGGGAAAACTCGCTCAAAGCGCGGCTTCTAAAAATCGCACCAAAGTTGAGACGCCGCGGCGGGGTCCCACGGGTCCCCTGAGCCGCAGCACCTTTTCTCCCCGGCACGATCAGATGCCGGGGAGAAAGCTACGGTGGGAAGGGGAGGCTGGCGAACTGTGCATGCTCACACATGCGCAGTTTGGCCAGGGGCCGGGGATGCGCCGGTGCAAGGACATGCCAGCGATCCCATGGCCAGGCTTGGGGCGCACTTCTCGAACGAACCACCAAGGTAGGTGGTTCTGTTTTGGTGCGGGGTTTTGGGTGTAAGGGGCGGATCGGGGACGCAAGCAGCACGATTCCCAGATGTTGCTGTGAGATCGTGCACATTTGCTGCGTCCCCGTTCCGTCCCTCTACCAGCCCAAAACCTCTCGTGTGACCGGGGCCAAAGAGTTACTAATCTGTTTTTAAATCTGAAAAAAATCTCTATATTCTTCATGATTAAATCCTTTATCTTATTATTATGGGGCAAATCATCAATGTCCCTTTTACCTTGACCCCATCTACAGATTAACATTATGGGCATGTGATCATGGTTTAGAATATTTCCATTTTAGAAATATGTCTTCCTTAAAACCTCAGGAGAAACAAAGAAATAGTCTAACCTAGAGTATGTGTTATTTCTATTAAAAAACTATTTTCTAACAGTATTATTATAGAATCCAGAGGTCATTTCAGGGGGGGAACCCCGCGTGAGGTACCGGGTGGTGAGGCACATGACGAAGCCCCGCCCCCTGCTTCCAGCCGCCCTGCTTCCGGCCCTCATTCAGCCAGGAGGAGGCAGGAGAAGAGGGAGGGTAAGTTGCTTCTTCCCTGCCTCTCCCCACCCCTGCCTGCCTGGGGCCAGGGAGGGTCTTCGCGGGGCTTCCTTGCACTCCCGCCGGCCTTGCAGGTCCACCGCCGGGCCCCTCAGGGGGCTCGGCAGTGGAGCTGCAAGGCCAGTGGTGGCAGCCGGGACCGTTGGGGGTGGGGTGTGTGGCCTTATGACACATTTCTGGTGATGTCAGGGGGTGTGGCATATGCTAATGAGTTATGCTAATGAGTTCCCCTAGCTCTTTTTCTACGAAATGACCCCTGATAGAATCTATATACTATTAGCCACGTGTGGCTGTGATCTGCGGATAGCTAAAACAATGCACTTGGGCCACAGAGAGGCTAAAGAGATTTTTCTTCACACTTGGAAGATTCCCCAGGTGTGCAGAAAAATCTGAAATGTTTGAAAAAATACACGGGGGGTTAAATCCTCTGAAAAGTCTCTGCATTTTCCTAACCTGTTTTTTCTAACATTCCTAACCTTTCTAAAAATTTGACAGTTACTATATTTAGTTTTTTCTCTAATTTCCTGTCTCTAGCATCATTTTACCTTCCCACTCTTAATATTTTTAATTCAAAGTAATTTCACATTCTGCCATCATCTTTTTAAATCTAAATCCTGTGTTTGGATGTTCTGTGATTATTATTTTTTTAATTCTTAGGAATGGGACCAATGCCTTGGACAGTAAATTCTGAAATATACCCCCTTTGGGCTAGAAGTACAGGAAATGCATGTTCTTCTGGCGTCAACTGGATTTTCAATGTTCTGGTGTCACTAACATTTTTGCACACAGCTGAGTATCTTACATACTACGGTAAGAAGTTTTTTCTGTCTGAATTGATTCTCAAAAGAACTATATTTCAGACAGATAAAATGTTAGCTTTCTAACTGTAAAGATTTTACTGATAGTATACCTTCTCTCCTTAAAGGCCTCCAGAAAGCTAATTTATAATTATGAAAATTATCTCTGCATGTTCTTGCTAATATGAGACATACATACCACTGTGTCAGAGATTCTCCTTCATTTAACCAGATCTGATTATAATCCTGTTAAAATGGTCAAAAAGGAGTGTTAAAGTTCTAGTGAACATATTAAACATTTGGTGAGATAAGAGAACCACCATCAGTAAATCAACCTATCACTCCTAGGTTATAGTCCATGAACTACTTTTCTGTATTAATGCTCTTGGTATTACATAGTTAAATTTCAAAACAGTACATTTTGTCATATTTTTCGTTGGGCACCAGATGTTGGCGCTCAACCTGCAGAAAAGTCATGGATGGTGGGGAGTCTTGATTTTGCCTACTATTTGTAAAATCCCCTATATGACCCCAAGCATCCATAAATGGGAAGATGGTTCCTGTAATATAAAGAAAGTAAAACTTGCATTTTAATACTGCCATGGGTAACAAATGTATAATAGTATACAAATAGTATACAAATGTATAATTAGTAGCAATATAATCAGAAACCTTCGTTCTAACTCTGGTACTCAGATATTTATCACTATTTCTTGCAAATCTGTTCTGGAAGAGAAGGAAAGAATCCAATGTTAACAGTGTGTTGGTGTTTGTATTTGCAGGAGCATTCTTCCTATATGCAGGATTTGCTTTTGTGGGAGTCATTTTCATCTATGGCTGCCTTCCTGAGACGAAAGGAAAGAAGCTAGAAGAAATTGAATGCTTGTTTGAGAGCTCACTGTGTACATGTGGTATTTCAGATTCTGATGATGGGAGGTATATAGAATATATCCGAGTAAAGGGAAGTAATTATCATCTTTCTGACAATGATGCTTCTGATGTGGAGTGATTTTCAGCTGCTGGTGTATTTAATCATTTAAAAGCCTTGGGTGTGGGGATGAAGGAGCTGTTCTTGATGAACTCACTGCCCTGCTTCTGGTCTGATTCTCCTTTCTTCTCATATGATTATTGTTCTCAACCATGTCATTTTGAAAAAATTATAAAGTGAAATACAATATTAGCCAAAACTGATGGCTTGCAAATTGGAGAGGAAGTTATCCCGTGATGATATAAGCAATCCCATATTGCTCTATTCCTAAAGTCCTCAAAATTGTGGTGTCAAATGCAACTGATGAAATACTGTGCTTAGTTGTCAGTCTTGCAAAAACATGTGAAATAGACAGCTAGCCAGAAACCAGATGAATCATAAAAGTATGGTTACCTGGCAACCAAGACTTGGTATATTCAGTACAAAAGTGCTCAGCCTGTTATGAAATGAGCGGGGAGGGGGGAGAGCCATAGCCTGCTGTGGAAACAATATTTATTCCTTAAAAAGCAAATTAATTTCATATGTATGGAGAAGCTGGGATTTTTCTGTTTTCTTTTTCTTTTTTGAACATGCCTACCTTTTACAAGCACAAATCTCTTTTTAACTGCCGTTGTACCACTTGAGAAACCCCTTGTGATTCTTCAAAGAACTCTGTTAGAAATCCAAGTGTGAATCATGGTGTAGATGGTCAGCCACTTGAAACTAGGCTTGTGGATGGCTGGTTGTTAGTGTGTAGGTGCTTTCCACACGATTGCAGCACATTGAAGCATGTCACCCTTAGTAGTGCAACAACAATCCTTTGTGTTTTTTTGTATTCCTTCAAGTAAACCCCATTCATTTAGCCCCTTAATGCAAAACGTTAAACAAGCTTATAGAAATGCCCTTTTGGTTCTACACTGGTCCAAACCTATCACTGTATCGAACAGTAAAGTGGCTGGGTCCCTTGTGAATCACAAAAACAGCAAAACCAGGCCACCTAAAGACAAAGTAGGGTTATTGCCACACATTTGGCATTTCCAGGCATGCAATTAAAAAAAAAATGACTTTGCAAATTCACCCCCTGCCCTGACAATTGAAAATGCTTCAGGACACACAGAATGTTCAGAGCAAGCTGAGAGTTAAAGAAAGAGTGGGGGGAGGGAACGTGGCCTGCCCAAGCCTCTGAAAACTTGTGGAAAATGGAAGGGAAGATTTTACGAAGTGTGAGGAATTTTTTTAGTCTTCCCCCATCCCATCCCCACTACCTTGTGAGCCCCTAGCTTGTTTATTTATATTTTGGGGGTTGTCCACTGATCACAGCCTATGTGATATTATCAGAATTTAATACAGCTAATACATTATACAGTCATTCTGGAGTTGTACCATTTCAAATGCAAGTAGGGATCACATATTTGACAGCTTCCATGGAAAGCTAGCATATCAGGAGAAGGGTCTTAGCATAGTCATCACCATTCAGTGCTGTCTTTCCATGGGTCAGGAGACTTTTGTGCACTGGGAGAATTCTACCATGTGATACTTCCCTTGCATTCACCGGTGGTCCAAACCCCAGAAGGATGTATCTGAACATGTCACCTGTAGGGAAAGGTAAGATTTAGCCTTGAAGTGATGTTAGTATAGTGGCTGGCAGTACAATTCTATACATGTTTACTCTGAAGTAAATCTCACTATATTTAATAATGCTTACTCCCAGATGAGTGGAGTTGGTATTGCAGCCTGAATAAAAAAGTCTGCAATTCAAATCTTATTTTTGCCACAAACTCACTAGGTGGGCTCTTCTTTTAGCCCCCCCCCATATGGAAATAACAACACTAGTCTAGTTCACATAATATTGCCCCCAGTATTTTTGCTTTTCTCATATCCCCCCCCCTCCAGCTGTACTTCTTTTGGGAATCAAAAAGAGTAAGACTTATCAACCTTCGTATATTCTTCATAGTCTCCTCCTAAATAATGAGGCTGTCTCCATATTAGGTAAAAAAAAAAATCAATGCATCTTCCCTTGTGATGAAAAAGTAACATTTCATCCATCTGCAAATATGACTTTCTTCAGCAGATGTATTTTTAAAAGGCAAATGAATTGTCCTTTAACTTAGAAGGATAATGTAGTCCACCTTTAAAAATTAAAATACCTTCTCAAACCCTGTAACTTAGTGGAGTAATATAAAATTTTCCACAACAAGCAGGAGATCATTCCAGTTTTAAATGGTGTAAATTTTCTTTCCTGGATCACAAGCCATTGCTTCAGATTCTCCATATCATAGAATAACTTGTAAACAGCATACTTTGTAACAGTTCTCAGATGAAAACAGGGACACTTATATACGGTTCACCCCTTTTTTGCACCAAGGATCGTTGCCTGAACACCTTTTTTCCTTCATTACTATCAATTGTTTGGCAGTTCTTCTCCACCCACCATTCATGTGGTGTGTTCATTTATTTTGACAGCCGGTCCTTAGAGGGTGGGAGATTCCTTGTCATGTGCTGCCTGTAGTGCTCAGTTTGAAGTGCCATCTGGGAAGTTTGGCATGAGAGTTTACAGAAAGCTCCCCTGGAACATAGACCCTGTCTTACTTCCTACCCTACTTTTTGACTCTTTGATTAACTATTGCCCCCCCCCCCAGTCGGAATAATGAGACAGACAACAGTTTTGGAAATAAACAAGGGCCACTTTATTAACTATTTAACATAACATTGCAACAAGGGACCAGCTAAGCAAGCATGGAACAGGCAAGGCAGGTGTCACTCCCCTGACCAACCTCCTTACCCTTTTCTCGGGCGGGTCACCCAGCTCCGGTCCGGAGCCATCATTCTGGCTCATGACCAGCAGCCCAGCAAACTGGTTGCCACGTAGGAGCGCCTACCCCTGAAGCCTTCCAACTTGCAGAGAGGAGCATACCCTAAGAGGTTCCCAGAGGAGGTGATCACCATTACCCACCCTGGACCTTAGAAATCCGAAGGCAGTTCCTGATGACCCCCTCTTCTCTAATGGGGAAAATGCCGTAAGGTGCTCACTGGTTCTGGTTTCTTGCCCGCACCAACCTGCCAAGTGACCAGCCTATTTATGTGTCAACCACCACAACCAACTATCCAATCCACTGCTCTCAGTGCAAGGTAGACAAAAACACCTCCACCCATTAAGCCAATACTGGGTAGAAGCAAAAAATTCCTACCTGGCCCCAATAGGCAACCAGCAACAGCCTACACTAAGAACAGCGCAAAAGTGGAGCCTGGCCGTTTATTCAGGCCGGCTCCGCCCCCTGCCTGCGTCATGATGCCAGGCATCAGGCTCTGTTGCTGCCTGTCTTCCTCGGGGCGGCAAATCAGCCCCCGGCGACCAGCAGCGTTGCCGGGTCGCCGGGAGCTTTGTTCCATTAAATATACAAATAGCTTTGTAAAGTTTAAAATCAGGAAGCTGCTGAAAAGGAAACTCTTAAACAGTAATGCAAATACCTCTGGATCTGCTTTCCAAGCCCACTGTGTTCATCGACAGAGGATTTTTTTCACTTTCTTAATACTATAGTCTCATTCCATTTCCCCATTCAAGGTTCCACTGGAAGAAGTATATTGTCTTTTATCTGTGTCTTCCTTAAAGAAAGCAAGGAAACAAAACCTGCTGTTTTATGACCCAACTGGTTTCTGCCTGGCCCTAAACATATTTGTAATTTAGACACAACCGTTCCTATCATAGTTATCTGGCCAATGAAACATACTGACAACTGAGCCTGTGCCAAAATGCTGCCTTTAATATGGATGACCCCTAAATATGCCTTCATAAGATTTACCTGCCTTAATCCAGGAAAAAACCTCCAAATTATGTGTTGAGGTTAAACATATGAGGAGAGTTCAAACTCATCTCAGTATTTTGCAGGGCTTGGGCACAAAGCCAAATAGAATCCAGCTGGTTGCTTAGCAGTCTGTCCTTACGCTGCTGCATTAGTTTATCTGCTATGGGACAGCAAGGAACACTTATGGCTTGCTTGATATAATCATGGGATGGCTGTTGGAGGCAGAGTTCTTGGGCAGCTTTGCAAATAATGTTCCAATTTTTATTAACTTTCTTCTTTTTCAGGCTGTGCTGAGGCCTTTATCAATGGAAGGACATTAGCCAGTATCCTAGTTCCTTGACATTCTCTTAAATAACTTTCAGTCATGCACCATACTCATCTGTTTTTCTGAAGTGTCAGGCCTGACCTTTCCCTGGTCTTCACCTGTTAGAGACTAAAAGCCAAGCATTTCAGCTAACAAGAGCACAGAAAAAGAGGGGGAAAGGGTGCCATCATTTCTGCATCTTATTTTTCCTCATGGACATGCTGGCTCAAGATGTAATTTCAATGTTTCTTATGCTGTAATGCTGAAAACATCTTATAGCTCATGTCCACGTTAATCACAGCACCAAAATTATTTGTTATAGAGCTAAAATTATATTAGTACTTGAAATCGGTTCTTTAAAATTGAGGGTTTTATCTTTAGAATCTGTGAACATTTATAGTCAGTATTTATTTTGCAACAGATTTTCTAAAAATATTTTGCATATATTAAGTTTAATGAGACTTTGTTAAAAGGGATCTAGACTCAACATTCCAGAAACAAGTATTCAATTACAGGTCAATTTCCTATGGCAGGATTTTGGTTTTTAATGATACATGAACAGCATGCCTAAGCACAAGATTTCTATTAAAACTTTCTAATAAGTAACTTTTACTAAGAGGATGGCTTAATTCAGTAATTTCAGGTGGTCTGGCGTCTTAAGCACCTAATCACTTAGCTCATTCTGGGAAAATTAAACTTCAGTCAGAAGCTGGCTTCTGTGCTAAGATCCATTTGGTGGATCAGATTCTCATTCCAAACCATGCAGCATAGGTTAAAATACCACTGGAGGTGAGCATGATGATCTGGTCAAGGCTGGGTTTTAGGAGCATTCCTTTAATAATGAAGATCACAGGCTGGGAGGGAAGAGAAGTGGATTGCAGCTGCCAAAGCTCACTATGCCGATGGTCTGTTCCCGTGGAACCCATTCCTGATCA